CCAAAGAATTGATGCTTTTGAACTATGGTGCTGGAGAAGACTCTTGAGAGTCCCTTGGACTGCAAGGAGATCCAACCATCCAACCTAAAGGAAATCAGTCCTGAACATTCATTGGAAGGACTGATGCTGAAACTCCAATACTTTACCACCTGATGCGAAGAACCAACTCATTGGAAAAGACCCTGATGCTGGGAAAGATTGAAGGCGGGAGGAGAAGGGGATGACAGAGGATGAGATGGTTGGATGGCATCACCGACTTGATGGACATCAGCTTGAGCAGGCTCTGGGAGTTGGTGATGGACAGGGAAGCCTGGCATGCTGCAGTCCATTGGGTTGCAAAGAGTTGGACACAACTGAGTGACTGAACTGAATTAATGGGGTAGATATAATTGGTAAATACTAAACTCTGAGCCCTGAAAACAAAGCCACATCTTTTCAAATTCCCATAAAAAGTCATAAAACTCACAAAAAACCCAGCGATCAAATGGCAAGGAAAACTTCACTGAAGTCCAAAAAAGTAGAAATCTTAGTATTATCTGATTATAATGCAATAGAACTAGAAATAACAAAACACAAAAGCACCTACTACCTGGACTCATAGATGGAACTCAGATGAGCCTGAAGTCAAAGAAGAAATCAAAGCCAAAATTCTGTGGCCCCATGGACTGTAGCCCGCCAGGCTCCTCTGTCCCTGGGATTCTCCAGGCAAGAATACTGGAGTGGGTAGTCATTCCCTTCTCCAGGGATCTTCCCAACCCAGGGATCAAATCCGAGTCTATTATGTCTCCTGCATTGGATTGGCAGGTGGATTCTTTATGCACTAGGGCCATCTGGGAAGCTCATAAAGTATTTAGAAAGTACTGATAAAAATACATGTTAGAACCTATAGGATACATCTAAAGCAGTGCTCAGAGAATTCATAGCCTTAATCTTCCTTTTTTTCTTGTTTACCAGTATAAAGATCTAAGCCTCTCAAAAAAAATTTTTTTAAAGCAAAGCAGGAGCATTTTAATAAAAACAAATGCATAAATTAATGAATTAGAAACCAGAAAAGGGTAATTACTAATAAATGGATCCTAAAGATGTTTCTTTTTGGAAAGGAGGGGGGTAGATAACCTCATTAGCTAACTAACCTAATCAAAAAGGGGGAGCACAAAATATACAGTATCAGAAACAAGGGTAACATAATCATTTAAAAGAATTAATTTTCTGCAGCCTCAGGCAGATAAATTTTAAAACCTGGATAAAATGGGTACTTTTCTAGAGAAACATAATTTACTAAATTCATTCAAGAACATTTAAACCAATCATTACGGGACAAATGGCCAACATCTCAGTGCTACCAAGGCCTCCACCTGCCCCAAATAAATGCACTGGCCTAGACTGCTTCATGGAGGATCAACCAATCTTTAAAGAACAGATAATCCATTTCTACTTGCGATGTTATAAAGCACAGAGGGAGGAGGAAGCAAGGGTCTTTGTGAAGCAAGTGTAACACTGATGGTAAAACCCAACAAAAATTGTTCCTAAAAAAGAAAACTAAAGACTAATGTCACTGATGAAATTGAAGTAAAACTCCTATTAAATAGAAAATCCAACCCCATGGTATATTAGAATGAAATATTTCTCATGACCAAGTGGGAACCAACCAGGAAGGCAAGGTTGGTCCATTATTAAAAAATCTATATTATTATTCATATTAAGAGAACAAGGCGGGGCAGAGGGGGAGAACATATGATCAGTTTCACAGACGCTGAAAAGTTCAAATTGCATTCTTGATTTTTAAAAATCTTAATACAACAGTAATAGGTAGACACTTACTTTTAACCTGATAAAGTATCTGCCCCTAAACCAGTATTTTGTGTTATGAGGAAATCCTAGAAGCTTCTGGTTAAAGTCAGAGACAAAGCAAGAATGTCTATTGTTGCCACTATTATTTTTTTATTGTTCCAGGGATAGTAGGCACCATTAATAAGACAAAGAAATCAAGGTATAAAACTTGCAAAGTAGGAGGTCAAATTATTGCTTACGAATGATTTGATAGTATAACTGGAAAACTTAAGAGACTAAATTGAAAAAGATTTACAAACAACAAAATTCAGTAAGCTGGCAGGAGTTAATAGCCTTTATATCAACACTTATGGAAGAAAAGATTAGCCAAGAAAGGTTAACATTCCAGAGGCAGGAAACATTAAAAATGTGCAAAGGTCTAAATGAAGAAAATACTAACAACGTTGCTGAGGGACACGGAAGAAAGTCTGAACAAACAGAAAGGTACAGACCGTGTTACTGGAGGGAAAGACATCATAAAAATGTCATTTCTTCCTAAATTAATTTATAAATTGCATGCAATCTCAGTGAAAACCCAAACAGGATTTTGTTCTTACCTAGATAAGTTGATTCTGTGGTCCAGGCAGAAAACTAATAGAACAGTCAAGGAATTTTTGCATAAGAGAAGTGATGAATAACAAGCAGGAAGCACCATCAAATATTAAAATGTATTATACACATGCTACGACATGGATGAACCCTGAAAACGCTATGCAGAGGGCAAGAAGCCAGTCACAAAAGGCCACAAACCGTATGAGTCCCCTCTCAGTAAAGGGCAAAAAGAGAGGAATCTATACAGAACCGAAGATGAAGGAGTGGGTAAAGGGATTTCTTCTGAGCTGATAGAAATGCTCTAAAATGGACTGGGGTGGTGGATGCAAAAATTCTGTAAGTATACTAAACCACTGACAGTACACTCAGATGGGTGGACTGTATGGTACGTGAATAATATCTCAACAAAGCCATTACAATTTTTAAGATGTATTATACTGCTACAATAATTAAATCAGCATTGCACCGATATTTGAATGTACTTGTATCCATACCCCAACTTTGTACCAGATAAATTGCCAAACATATCAGAGATTATATATTTTAAAAATTAAACCAGAGAAGAACTAGAAGAAACCCTGGGGAGGCTCCCTCTCATTTTTTTTTTTAACAGCCTCAGCATGAAAAAGGACATTAAGTATGACATAAAATCCAAAGTCCATAAAAGGAAGCACTGACAAATTTCACTTCATCAAAAAAAAAAAAAAAAAGTCCTCTGTGACAGAATCAAAGACAAATGACAATCTGGGGGAAACATCTGCAGTTCATAGGACAGACAAAAGTCTAATTCCATCATATACAAAGAGCTCCTATAAATCAATAAGGACAAAACCCAGTGGGGACAAAACAGATCAAGAGGATGAACAGATAAATCAAACCACATCCATCAAAGTTACAAATGCACATACCTTCAACCCCGTATTTCCTCTTGTAGAAATTTATGCTGTGGTTTTATTCACATCTTTTTGACACATATTCAGAGACAAAGTTTATTGCTGCACTGCTTGTAATGGCAGGTTGGGTATGGTTCTCCTTAGGGGACTGGGCAAATAAATGATGGATCGTCCATGCTATGAGAAACTTTGTGGCAAAAGAATGAGGAAGCTCTTCAGATGCTGACATGTAGTTTGTATGGCTAAGTGAAAAAAGTGAGGCATAGGACAGGGGATAAAATACGTGTAGACACACATATTTGCTAGCATGTGCATAAAACACCTGGGAGACCAGACAGGAGTGGAGAGGCAGGCTTTGTCTCTCTACCCCTTTATTCCGTTGGAATACTGGACTACATGAATATATTACCATGTCTAAAGATTGTTGTTTTTCAGCAGCTCTCTTTAAGACCCCATGGACTGGAGCCTCCCAGGCTTCTCTGTCCATGGGATTCTCCACGCAGGAAGACTGGAGTGGGTTGTCATTTCCTTCTCCAGAGGGATATTCCCGGACCAGGAATTGAACCCATGTCTCCTGCATTGGCAGGTGGATTCTTTACCTCTGAGCTACCAGGGAAGCCCCTGTCTAAAGATAAATACATATTAAAAAAAGAATAAAGCAACAATATAGACACAGTGCTAAATGGTAACTGATCCTGTGTGATATAGGACAGAGGGCAATAGGGAAGGGTGGGAACTGGGGACTGGTGAACTGGAGAGGAACATCCCCTTAAAGATGCAGGCGTTCTGTTCTGACCAATAGCTGCAGCCCAGGAGGAACATAGGCCTGTGATACAGAGCCTCTGATTTGTGTTCACGACACACTAGATCCAGATTTTTATGAATATCTCCCTATTTTTTTTAATGTTTCTAAATACTGAAAAAATAACAACAGCAAATCTATGGTGGTTAAGAATAATCAGACCAGAAGGCTTGGGACCCCTCTCCTGGATGGTAGGGGAGGACAGACCCTTGGAGGTTACCACGTCCAGCTCCCTAACTTGACCCGTTGACAAAAGCAAGGCCCAGAGAGGGAAAAGGACATGCCCAAGACCACACAGCAATTCAAGCCCCAAGCTGGGATCTCATTTGGGACAACAGTTGCCTTCCTGAACGATATGGGGGTTAATCTGAGCGTAATTTACAGTTGGCCCTCCACATCCTCAGTTCTTCCACCAACCGCGGACCCTGGAGTACTGCGGTGTTCACTACTGAAAAATATCCGTGTATAAATGGACCCACACGGTTCAAACCTGCGCTGCTCCAGGGCGAAGCGTGTTTGCTTTCCTGTGATCCTACCCCCTGCTGACACAGAGACAGACATGGCGTGTGGCGGGCCATGGAGGAAGTGCTAGGCTTGGGGTCCCGCTGCTGCTAAGTGGCCGGAGGAGGCTGCTGGGGAGGAAGGTCGCGCCCGGTGGGTGTCAGCCAGGCCAAGGGAGTGGGTGCCACTGTCGGGGAGGGACCCCAGCCACCCAAAGGCCTGGGAGGGCACAGAGTGCCCAGAGCAGGCTGGCGGTCGGGGGACTGGCTGGAGTGGGGACGGCTTTCCCCAGCTGGGAGCTGCCCTGCCACGGCCCGAGCTGGGGCGAGCTCGGTGTGCCCCAGAGGATGCCAGCCCCGGGGGCCTGGAGCGGGCAGAGGAAGGGGTGGGGGCCGGCGCTGCGGGCAGGGCACGTCACTCACACTTGCGCAGCTCCAGGCTCTTGGTCGGGCAGGCCAGGTGTTGGCCGGGGGCGTTCTGGGTCCTCTGCAGACAGGCCAGCATGGCTGAGCTGGGGGCCCGCCGCGGGGCGTGCTCTGCGGCGGGGTCCCTGTGAGGAGGGGAGAGGAGGTGCTGGTCACACGGGCCACTCCAGGCCTGCCTCCCAGCTCCCCGCCCGGCCCGACTCTGTGTGTGGGTCACACCTGCTCCAGGGGGCTTCCCAGACACCCCCAGGCGTGCTCTCTCAGCAGCTCCCCTCCACGTTCCTTTGGGTGGTGGTGGGCTCCATTCTCTCATAACCACGTGCCAGCAAATCTGTACCAACCCCCCTGTCTCCACCTCCCCGCTCCCCACCTTCAGCCCTGAGCTCATCAAGGGCACAGACCCCCCATCTGTAGGGTCATCTTGGGAAGCTACACGGAGGGGAGGGGTGTCCGGGAACTTCCCGTGACACACGGGGTTTCCACTCATTGAAGTGTTGGTCTCCCCGCCGCCACCGCAGTCTGGAGACTTTTCCCAGTGCACCTGGAGGGGTGAGATGTCCAGGGTGGGGTCCCCGCGAGAACCGGGGGTGACCTGTGCTGAGCCTGACCTTGGTTTCAGACTGAGCCCAAGACCAGGCCCGAAAGGCCACTAGGCCCCCGACCAAGTCCCTGAGCCCAAACGGAAAAGGGCAAGGCCCACCCAGGGTGGCTCAGGTGTGGCTCCAGACAGGTCCACGTGGGCTCACTGACCCAGATTCACACGGAAACGAGCATCTTTATCTACACAAAACCTCACTTCCCCCGAGAACCCGGAGCCTCTGAGGGGCAAGATGACATGGGCAGGGCCTGCCCTGGATGGATGGGGAGAGGGCGGGACGTTTCCTGCCAGGGAAAGGCAGGCCCAGGTGTGGGCTCAACCCTGGAGGCTGCTGATGGCCACCCAGTCCCAGTGCCCCAGCCCCAGCCCCACCCCCACTGCCAAGCGGGCGGCTGGTTTTAAAAAAGAAGAAAGCAGAGGGGAGGGTGTGTTGAGGGGAAGAAAGGGAAGTTATTTAATACTAAACAGGTGTCTGGAGCCCTAAATTCTGCCGCTTTCTTCTAATAATGAAGTATTCATGAGGAAAAGCCTTTTTTCACTACTTTCTTAAGATACTAATTTCACAACAAGCTCCTTGTTACCGAGCAATTATTCCAACCTTGTATTTCCCCGAGACGGCTGCAGCCTCCTGTCTGTCTTGGACCCTCGGTAAATGAAAGACAATCACGGACCCACCTTTCATTATGCTCTATTTTACTTTCAGCAAAGGTACCCTGAAAGAAATGATTTACTCTGAAAGGGACTTTTATTCAGTTTCAAAACCAATTTTCTCCTATTACTGTCTCAGGAAAAAAAAAAGAGAGAGACAGAGGGAGAGAGAGATGGGGGGTGGATGGGGGAGGGTCGGTGGGTCTAATGCCTCCCCTCCCCAACCTCCCAATCGCCAGCCTTAACGCAGCGACGCGATAAAAGCTTCGGTATCCGCTTCCTGGCTTTGATTTCTGGTAATTTTAAAATATGCCATTACAATCAGGCAGAAATTACACAGTTGAAGAAGGGAATGAAGTGGGGCTTACTGCAGGGACGAAAGCCCTTGACTACGGAAGGAGGCGCCACTCCCCGGGGACTCAGGACGTGAGCGAGCTGGCAGCGGGCTGCGCCGGGGGCCCTTGGGGACACACCACACTCCTGGGGGCAGCCAGGCCCCCTCGGACGCGACACCTGCAGTGCTGGGCGTCCGCACACACCCAGAGGCGCTCGCCACATCCATTTTCCTGCAGGTGGATACATCCCGACACACCCTCGCCCACCCCAAGTGACACACCCCTCCAGCACCTCTCAGCACTCACGGGCCATCCACGGAAACACACACACCATCGTGTGCCCGCCTGGAAGGTGAGAGGCCTGGGGGCACCCTGGTAGCCCGGCCTCAGGTCCCCACTGTAGCCCAGAGTGCCGGCCACCTCCCGCTGCTCTGACGGAGACTTAGGGGGACAGAGAGGAGAGGCCAGCCCACCTTAGGGCCCCAGCAAGCCCTTTCTGTCCAAAGACGAAACCCAGAGGGGGACGGGGCCCTCCCTGGGGCACTCAGCAGCCAGGGACTGGGTGAGCCTGGCCCCTCTCCACTGGGCTGCGCTGCTGCCCGCAGGCTGGGGCGGCGCTGGGCAGCGAAGGAGGGAGGTCAGCACCTAGAGGAAACCTGGGCTGGAAGCCCAGAAGCCCCCCACCTCCATGCCTGTGTGACCCCCGGGGAGTTCCTGCCCCTCGCTGGCCTTGTAAAAGCACCTCCGTGATCCCTCCCAGCTCATTCTTCTCCAGGGTCCTGGCCCAGCCCAGCCCCACCTTGGGCGGTCCTCCCCACCCCAGGCCATTCACCAGGCGCCCAGAAGCCCAGCCCCTCTCCAGAGCCCCCCCCTTCCCCAGGGGTCAAGCACCCTAGCCTGCTTTTCAGTGGAAAAGGGGTAGGCCGCCTATTCTGAGGCCTCTCCAGACCCCCTCAGGCTCCTCTGGTGGCTCAGACAGTCAAGAATTTGCCCACAACATAGGAGACCCAGGTTCCATCCGTGGGTCAGGAAGATCTGCTGGAGAAGGGAATGGCTACCCACTCCAGGATTCTCGCCTGGAGAGTCCCGTGGACAGAGAAGCCTGACGGGATACAGTTCATGGGGCCACAAAGAGTCAGACACGACTGGGCAACTACCGCCAGACCCCAGCAAATGCCCTCCCCGTGGGGCTCCGGTTTCAGGGTGCTCAGACGGTGGACGCCCAGGCAGTTCTGGGGGCTGCGAGAGACCACGAGGCCCAGCTCAGGGCCCACAGAGGATTCCCCGGGGGAGATGGAGTCCAGGGGAAGGCCTCAGCTCAGCTTTCCTGGTGCAGCCGCCTGGCTCAGTCTGTCCCGCGCCCGTGGAGGACCAGCCGTCTGAGCGGCCGGCTGCACGTGAGAAGATGGATTTCTTCCTGGGCCCGCAGCACCCCAGCCCCCTGCCCCTTCTCCCAGGAACCCTGTGCCCTGCTGCCGGGGCAGGTGCGGGGTGGGGTCCGGTCGGGGAGGGCAGAGGCCAGTTTGGGATCATCCACATTATTTACGGCTTCCGAAGGTGGCTCAGCGGTAAAGAACCCGCCTGCCAGTGCAGGAGACGTGGGTTCGATCCCTGGGTCGGGAAGACCCCCTGGAGGAGGGCATGGCAACCCCCTCCAGTATTCTCGGCTGGAGAATCCCATGGGCAGAGGAGCCTGGCGGGCTATGGTCCATGGGGCTGCAAAGAGTTGCACGTGACTGAAGTGACTTAGCACATGCACACACATTATCTACAAACAAGACAAAACAACCTTCTTACTGGCCCTAAAACTTCTCTCTGGTGCCAGAATAGAGCCTCACCCTCTTTGCCTGGCCCTCAAGGCCATTATGACCTGCCCCCCCACCCTCCACCATCTCTCATCGCTCCCTCCAGCCCACCAGCCCCCAAACCTTTACCTGCACTGGTCTGTCCACTCACAGCACTGCCATCTGATCCCTTGTAACTCAGACTCAGGTCCCCTCCTCTGGGCACCCCCGCTCATGGCCCTAATCACACAGAGTTGTAATTGCCGATTTTCGTGTCTGTCTCTCTCCACTGGACTGTTGAGTTTCTCAGGGGCAACGACCATGTCTTATTTGTCTCTTTCTTCCCAATGCCTGGCAGAGAGCAATCGCTTAATAAGTAGGTGTTGAATGACTGGCCGAATCCATGAATTTAGTTACCGTCAGATGAAGTGATGGGGGCCTCAGAGAAGCCAAGTGTCCTACATAAGGTCACACAGCAAACCGGAGACAGGACTGGAGCAGGTGCCTAAGACAGTCATGATCTTTCTGTGACCTCCCCCACCCCCTCTCTGCTAGGCATCACCCCTGTCTGCAGAAAGCCAGCTGCCCAGAGCCCCCACCCCAACTCATGACTACTCTCTCAGCCAGGGACCATCCTGGGAGAGCGGCTCATTTTGAAACCCTATCTGCAAATCAGGCTGTTTAGAAGCCCAAGGTCTTTTGTGACTTTAATAATATAAAAGTGGGGTGGGGGGAGAGAGGGGGCAATGTCGCAAGCCTCAATGATTAGACTGATTTGGCTACCGTCCCTGACGCGGGGGCTGATAAGACTCCTTATCTTGGAGGCGCCCCTAGGAAAAGGTCCCCTCCACCAGATAATGCCCCCAGCTGTCGATATGCCCTTTCATAGCTGAGGATTTAGATAAAGGAAATGTGACAGGGGAGGGGAAAGAAAGGAAGGAACTTCCCGAGTCCGAGGAGGAATTGAGACTGCTGCTCGCCTTGGCAGAACAATGCAGAGCAGACGGATGTCTAGAGGCTGCCTTTATATTTATTAAAAGAACAGGGAATGGGGCCTTTGGCCCGGCCCGCCTTTTGTCATCTCCCCCAGCCTGTCTGGCTGCAGGGGGTGTTGGGGAGCCACCCCTCCCCATGCTGCCAGTGGGAACGGGGAGCTGGAAAATGACAATACACATGCTGGTGCTACTAACAGCAGCGCGTATTTACGGAAAGCTCCCTCTGGGCCACGCCCCACACGCATCCAGTCTGTTACACCTCACCGTGTCCTCCAAGCAGCCTCCCTTGTGGTTTCTATCTCTAGGCCCATTTCACAGATGAGGAACCGGTCACAGAGAGGGGACGTCATCTGGCCAAGGTCACACAGCTTTCAGGTGGCAGAGCCTGAGGGCATCAACCCCAGCCAGGGCCTGCCCCCTCGGGCCTCCAGCCTTGGCTCCATGTTGGGGGCTGGGGTCGACCCCCATCTCGCAGGCAGCTGGGCAGGAAGGAGCAGAAGCAAAGTCGTGCTTCTTCCCAGTCTCTGGTTCTACTCCAGGAGGCTCTAGGATCATGGAGAGAGAGACAAAAAGCAGGGAAGGAGGAAGAGGGGGCCCCCAGGAGGCCACTTATTCATCCCATGGACTTTCACAGAGGACAATCTAAGAGGCCCACGTGGGCAGAGCAATCCTGAGATGGCTAGAGCAAGGCCCTGCCTCCAGAAGGGAACCGTTCTGAG